TGAAATGTACAGTGGATAAAGTAAGCAGAAATCTTTGTGGTGCAAAAAAAAAAAAAAAAAAATTAAAAGAAATAAATAAAAACAACAAATAGGAATAAAAAAAAAAAAAAATAGAAACTGGCATGTGAGATAAAAATGAAACAAAGTTATGGAGATCTAAAGTAGACGTTTTAAAGAACCGAAAAAGTTGAATAAGCATAAGAGAATAAAAAGTTAATAAAATTAGGAGAAAATATGTAATTAAATTAAAAGCTGAAATTGATAATACCATTTAAAGCATCAAAGAAAAAGTTTAAACGCCAATGCAGATAAGACAATCTAAAAAAAGATCAAGACAATATCATGTTCAAAAACAATTCCCCCAATTTTTTTTTAATTTTTTTTTTTTTTTTTTTTTTACAGAAAAATAATTTTGTTTTAATACTAAAGTTTGCCTAATACAAGGGTCAAGAACTATTCAAGGTATCAAGATAGAGTGTTACTACTAAGTTCCACCTGTTTACTCTTGTATGCCAACAGTTTCTTTGCTTGTATTTCCCGCTTGTGGAACTCCCTTCTGTTTATTTGCTTCCCTGATAAATAAAATCTTCAAAAATTGCTTCCCTGATAACTACAATCTTCAAAAACTTAAATGCAATGTCAATCACCATCTTCTGTCTTCTTAAATTCTGTTCATCTTTTGTCCTTTCCTCAATCCTCTCTATACTCAGTCTTTTCTCTCAATTTCGCTCTGTAAACCCCTGCATCAAATTAGTGGCATTCCTGCCTTGCTTGGGGTGAAATGAATTAAAAAAAAAAAAAAAAAAAGTCATGAAGTATATGAAAGAGGAGATAGAAAATGAAGATTATGAGGATAGATATAATTGACCCTTAACTTGGGTTAAAAACTGAAGTGCTCAGGAAAGTATCTATGCAGGAATCTGTTCCATAAAGTAGTACTGTGAGTCAAACTTTCTCCTTACAGTAGTTTGACATTGTGGAAATACTATAGAATCTTCCACATGGAATATCCTTGTCGTTAAAATCTGTACCGGTGGAACTAAACTGTAGAGCTCACCTGAACATTTGCCATGAAAATAGCAGTAAAATAGCAATAGGTTTGCAATATTGCATCTTTGAGAAGAGAGGCTGTACAGTGAAAAACTTGCCTAAACAGTATTGAATACTATCAATGTTGGAAGATGAAAATTGAGCAGCTCGTATATGTTCCAGTTTTGGTATACTTTGATCAAAGAAAACCCAAACTCTTGGACAGCAATTTGGCCTGACAAAGAGAACAATGAAGATGCTCCTTGGATTGAAAAACAACAGAAAACTATGACACCTAAGAAGAGCAGGTATGAGAGGATGTAATCGTAAATGATCCAAGAACCCATTAGCATTCACATTATACACACACACACACACAAAATATGTGGTGCAAGCTCAATTTATATTATAATGAATCATTCATACAAAAAGTAGATTAGTAAAGTTAATGATATAAAATAGCGAAAACACTTGAACAAAATTTTAAAGTTGCATTAACCTACAAACCACTCAGTGAATGCTAAAAAAAGGATCTTAACTTTCATCGAGTGGTTTGTAGGTTAATGCAACTTTAAAATTTTGTTTGAAAAAGGATTTTGCCATTTTATATCATTAACTTTACTAATCTACGTTTTGTATGAATGATTCATTATATATATATGTGTGTGTGTGTGTGTGTACACATTTCATTGGAATACAACAGAAAAGATGCTTTAATTTAGTTTTTTTTTTATACAATTTCAAATGCACTCTTATAATTTTTTTGTTTACAGATGATAAATTATATAAAAATTGTCTGAATGTTCTTTTAATCCGAGCACTTTCGGCTATACATTTAGCCATTTACAAGGCTGATATATTTTAACTGTTAAATAAGAAATAGTTTGTTGCATGTATGTATTTATATAAGGTTTTCATTTTTCAAAACATGGTCAAGGTATTGTATCCATGTTCATAGTTGATATTAAGTGTTGATTTTGTTTTTGTTAATAAGGCTTCCATTATTTTTAGCCTTTTTTGCATGCAGATGATGCTATTATATTTGTTTTGTCAACAAGTATGTTACAAATAGGGTCCAGTAGGTTTCCATGAACATTTAAATGAGATCTAATTGAGCTATGGTCAGAAAGGTGTGGAGCGAGTCTTCGTGTCAAACATGTTGTAATATGGCCTATATAATTATTTATGAATTTTGATTGATCAGGAATGCAATTCCTTAAGGGGCATTTAAAAAAATTTTTTGAAAAGAAAAAATTATTAGATCACATGAGAAATTGTATAAAAAACTAAATCAAAGCACCTTGTCTGTCGTATTCAATGAAATGTGCATGTAAGAAGGATGGCTGCCTAAATACACAACATGATTATATATATATATATATATATATATATATATATATATATAAAGAATCAACAATGGCTTCACTAACCACCTTATAGACCACCAAATTAGACTATTTCTCCCCAAAGCAAGTAATAATGATAGCGAACACACAGCCAAAAATCACATACAGATTTATTACAAAAACCAAATGCATATTAATTACAAACAAGACGAATCTTCTCTAAGGCATATTTTAAAGAAATATACTACTCCAATTGATCTGAATAAAAAAAATCAAATTTATTATCTATTATAAAAAATTTAAGACAGCCAACCTTATCCTCAAAAATAACAACACACCAGCTAAGTCAAAATTACAAAGAACAAACATTGTCTATGAGTTCAAATGCCCCTTAAGGAACTGTGTTCCTGATCAAACCAGACTCATAAATAATTACATCGGTTATACAACCACATGCTTATCCAGACATCTTATGTTACACTTATCTGATCACAGTTCCATTAGAACCCATTTAAACACACACAAATTTACCAGACTATTAGGAACATACTAGTAGAAAACACATATATTAACTGCATCCACCTGCAAAAAAAGACTAAAAATAATGGAAGCTTTAATAATAGAAAAAAAAGCCAACTTTTAACAATATTAACTACAAACAAAGCCACAATGTGCTAACCGTATTCGGAAATTAAAAACATCCCTACCACCCACTAAGGCATACACAGAACGCACACACTCAATTAAGCTGAAAAATCAAATCATCCTTGATAATGGCTAAAGGTATAGCCGAAAGCACTCAGAAATATAAAACATTTCGACAGTTCTTACACACCCTTTGTCCAGAAAAGAAAGCTCTTGTTCGAACACAAGAAAAATTAAATAAAAAGCTTAAACGAAGTACCTTGTCTGTTGTTTTTAATGAAACATACATAAAAGAAGGATTGCTGCCTAAATATACAACTATATATATATGTGTGTGTGTGTGTGTGTGTGTGTGTCCATGCATTGACATAAAATGAGTGAATTACAAGAGAAATTTGTCAAAAATGAAAAATAGTTGACTTGCCTGGTATCCTTTGACAATGAATGTGTATGCCCATTATGTTAAAAAAATGCTGCCAAACTGACATCATAGAGATCATTTGTTCACTCAAGATCTGACACGCATGTTTCAGCATCATTATCCTCATCTATATCAGTTAGTTTGTCACTTTTCTCATCAGAAATGTTGATATCTGATTTACATTGAGTCAATTGCTTCATCCACTGCAAGGAAAGTTGGCTCCCTGTGCCGCACCACGAAATTTTTCTCCCCGGAATCGATCCTTCAAATCTACAAATCAACCATTCGACCTTGCATGGAGTATTGCTGCCATATATGGTCTAGTGCCCCTTCTGTTTGCCTAGGGGTTCATGATAAGATCCAGAGATGGATATGCAATATAATTGGCCCTGATCTGGCATCTCATCTTCAGTCACTCTCTCACAGATGTGCTGTCACCTCTCTCTGTCTTTTTTACAAATACTTTCATGGTAATTGCTCCGATGAGCTGTTTTCGCTGGTGCCAAGACTTCGCGAATTCAAGCACCCTACGAGGCTGGCATCTCCCTCTCACCCTTTCACTGTTGAAACTGTTAAATGTAGCCACCTCTTCTACTTCAATAGCTTCATATCTCACACCTCTCGCCTGTGGAAGTCCCTTCCCTACTCCTGTTTCCCTGATAGCTTTAATCTCCAACTATTCAAATGTAATGTCAATTGACATCTCCAGTTGCATTGATCTATCCACTATCCTTCTCATCCTTTCCTCTATCATTCCTACCTGCTCTCGCTCCAAATCCTCTATAACTCCTTGCTTCCAGCCTTGCTAGGTTAAATGCTTAAAAAAAAAAAATAAATAAATAAAATAAATTAAAAAAAAAAAAAAAAAAATAAAAAATTAAAAAAAAAAAAAAATCTCACAAATCTAGTTTTTTTCATTTTTTTCTTCCTAGGATTCTAGAATAACTCAAATGAGTTTTTCTGAATCACTAGATTCTATCTTCTTGTGATGCTCGATTTCTCATCAAAAAAAAGTTAAAAAAAAAAAAAAAAAAAAAAAAAAAAAATAAAATAATATTGTTAAACTTGTATTTTTCTTCACTAATCAAACAAAGAAGAGATGGCGGAAATAGCACATGGTCAAAGTCTCACTCTTTGTGTGACTTCTAGCATTATTTGCAATGATGTCATATATTTTGCCAGAATATACATAGGATGGGTTGAACACTGAGACAATATTTACAGCACAGGTTTGAATGCATTGAATACTACAGGATTAAAGAAATTCTATAAATAGAAGTCACCTGAGAAAGATAAATCCTTAATTATTGAGTAATTGATTTATTTGTTTTTTTAAGTTCTTTTTTTTAATGACTTAGCCTTTTTTAGGTTATTTAAAGCCAGGATATATTTTTAGATTCTAAGAATTTTTGTTGGAGATAATGATTTACTGATACTACCATAGGTTCATACATTTCTCAAGGGTATTTCTGTGTAAATGAATATAACAAACACGAATGGAATTGGAACTCCAGTTAACAATTCCAAGCCATTATCCATGGCATTGGACAAATTCAATCTTACAGCACCTGGTATTCCCAAGTGATCACCCACCTATGTACTGCCCAGGCTCAATGATGCTTAACTTCAGTGATTGTACGAGAATCAGTTTCAACATGATGTGCCTGTAAGCTTAATTATTGGTCAAATGCATTTTCTCACCATCATGTTGCATTATTTTTACCTGCAACAGATTGTGAACACACATTATTATTATTATTTTTTTGTAAAGAATTTCAATCACTGAGGTTTTTTTTGGCCAATACATCCCTGTGATGGAGACACTTTCAAGTAAATACATGCATAATCAAGGGAAATGGCATAAAAAGTTTGTTAAAGAGAGAAAAAAAGACAAAAAGAATCAGGAAAGAATGCTACAGAAGATTTAAATTGATTTTGCAAAATTAACTAAATGCATGAAAATATAATGGAAGCAATCAATACACTGGTTGAACATAAAATACAGTCTCAATATCATCAGTAAAATTAGAAAAGTTGATATCAAATTTCTAACAAGAAACAATATGCACCATTCTAAGATGGTCAAAGACCAAATGTACTTTCCCAGAGATCAAGATGGAAGATGACTGGCACAATTACAAATGTCTTTGACATTGGTAACGATTAACTTTCACAAAACACTGGATGTGTAAATTTCTGTTCCAACATGAAGTTTGCAAAAAAAAAGTTTCAATTTGGTCATTGAAGAAGCCAAAAAAATACTCAGGGAAAATAGATTTACATGACATTTGGAGTGAAAACAAATGAAAAATCAAAAGCCTACCAAATTAGCAAAAACAAAACCTAAAAGCCAGTACATGCCTGCATGAAGAATATTTAGAAAGAGTCAACAGTAATGACGTAGAAAAAACTGCAACTGTTGGTATTTTGTAGACTAAATCAAAAACTTAAGGATTCATAATTACTATAAGTTCAGTTTCTCCAACAAAAATTACCATTCTAATATTCTTAATGACACAAGACCATTTTACAGAGTATGTTTTATTTACAGAAATTGTAAACCATCAAGTGTCAGGTTGTATTATCTTAGCTCCAACTTAATACCTTTCATGCAATTATCTATGTTCCATGTCTCTTCAGGAGTTTGGTAATTATGGCTCTCCACAATTTCCTATCCTTTGTAGCTCTTAGCAGTGCTTGTCATTTTACTATCTCTCTCAGTTCCTGTTCTGTCATCCATTTATACAACTTCATTAGAGAAGTCATTTGCTGTTTGTCTCTCTTGTCTTCAATGTCCTGGGAGTGTCAAATTTTCTTACCCTTCTTTCCTCATTAACAGAAAGTTCAACTGCCCTTTTTTAATTCTAAGTAGAAATGTACTTTCTATTTCCACTTCCCTTAAAGCTTCAGTGTTGCTTACATACTGTCCATGTTATTCTCAGCATCCTCCTGTAGAACCATATATCTGTTGCATCAAGATTATTTTTCATATGTGAAGAAATTATCCAACATTCATTCCTATATAGGAGAACTGATATTACAAAGCACTCTTTTCTTTGTTTCTAATGATATTTTCTGTTCCTTAATACTTTGCTTAGCTTTTGGAAGGCATCTTTTGCTATTCCAATACACCTTCCAATTTTGGTGTCACGTTTTCCATCATTGGTTAAAAACACATCCCAGATATTTAAACTTCTGTACTAGTTTGATTTTGGTTATCTCCAATTCTTAAGTCTTATCTCAGACTTCTTTCTTATTAACAACTAGCAGTAGAGCCCAGTATTGCCCGGGGATATAACAGTAAGAGATAGATCAAGTATCGACCATCATAATGACTGAAAAATAAAATTGACAAAGATTATTATTTAAGGTTGACGAACACGCATGTCTTAATTAGTTTTTTTTTTTTTTAACGAATTGGTCAAACCCAAACAAAAACATTGTTTTCAATCGTTATGAGTCTATCGATTGAATAGAATTTTATTATAAACAATTGTCTTGTAAATGCAATTTTTAAAGCATTCTGAATGTAAAAATAAAGAAAAAAGTGTGCAAGACAATAAGAAACACTACCTGCTAGAAAGAAAGTGAAAAGAAATTGAAAATTTTGTTGAAATTGGTTGAAAAATGTAACTTGATAAGTCCGATCCCATATATAAACGTATTGAAAACACACACAACAATCTGCGTTTTATAATAAGTAAGATCACAGATTCTATCTTTTTATAATTGATGGCTTCATAGCGTTTGTCAATATATTAAGTGGATAAATATGTTTTCACTGTCAACTAATCCGTGAAATAAATACATAATAACTTCTAATGAAAATATTACCTGTTCTCTGGGGCTCCTCTGTAAAAATAGTTTGACTTATAAAGGCAAAAAAACTCTGTATAACTGTAAGGAATTACACAGCAAAACATGTTTACTTATTGAAGTAAGAATCCTTGTTGATGTGAATATGCCAGTCAAATTATTCCAAAAACTTAGCAAATACAAAGACCTTGAAATTCAAAAAATGTTACATCTCAAAGCAACAATTACCATCATGATCGGCATTTTAGGAACTATACAAGAAGTAAATAAGCACGCATACATTTCCCTGGAGAGAAAAGCTTAACTGAAATGCAGAAAATTGCATTAATGGGAACTTCTCACGTCCTTGGGAAAATACTATCAATATGGCTTTTTCCTGGATAACCTTTGTATTTAACTTAAGATTTCATTCAAGTTCTTAAATTTTTAAGGATTTTATTCAACTTTTTGACAATTCTTAAGCAGTCATAATTTTATTTAACATTGCACAAAATTGATTTTAAAATATCTTTATACTGAAAATCTTTTCATTTGATTTCAACCTCTTTTGAGAATTTTTTTTTTTTAAACCTGCTTTTTTTTTTTTTTTTTTTTTTACCCTGCTTTTACATGTCTTAAGCAAAACATATTGCTATCAGTTATTACATAACAACTTGCCATCTCTTGAAGTTTCGGGTTGAAATACGTGAGAAGCTCGTATACCAAACAAGCAGATTCCAAACATAATATTTTGAAAATATATAAAATTAATGTTGTCAAATCCATCAAAGTGTGAGTCATCAAATCACAAGATGGAGGGAAAAAATGAAAAGCACCGAAACATTTTTGTCTTAATTGATTTAATTCTTATAGTCAGTTTGTCCTGTAAGGCGAACATCTCCTGACATCAAAAAATACGCTTACGGTGGACATTGCCAATTAAAATAAACAGAAACAAATCAAACTAATTTCACTTGAAATGAAAATTTTTTTTTATTTTTCAAACAAATTTCTGGAATTCCCCCACTTTCCCCCAAGTAAACACAGGAAATTGTTTTTTTAATTTTTGAAAAATTTCAATTGAATTTTTATAAAAAACTGGGTGCTAATTTCCAGGTGAAAACTTTGGATATATTTTGTATATAAATGCTTCACCATTATCTGCTCATACAGAGCAAGAGGGAAAGGGCTTAGAACCTGACCACTTCAGATGATGTGGTGGGCATGTAACGGATGCATGGCTCAGTGGTTAGAACATTAGCTTTCCAATCATGAGAATTAAGTTTGAATCTTGCCATGATAAATTTGTCAAAGATGGGACTTCTTTATTGACCTGGAGAGATGATCCCAGTGTGTGGTATTAATGTGAAATGCTTGAAAAACACACGACAGGTTGACCCATGGTCTGCAAGTGAAATTAGGGAGAAAACTTTAGAAGCTATCAAAAAATTTATAAAAAAATAAAATTTTATATATATATATATATATATATATATATATATATATATATATATATATATATATATAAAGTGTGTGTGTGTGTGTGTGTATTTGGACAGCAATTTTTTTTTTTTTTTTACAGTGTGGTTTACACTGTACAAGGCCCGGGAGCCACTCAAGGTAGCAATAGGCACAGTTTATGCATATATGCAGGGAAGATAATTTACCCTAGATTTAAACTAGTTAAGATTGTAATGATCAGCAAAACATCCTCTTGGGAGCCGGTTCCACACAGAGCAGTGGTTCACAAGAATAAGCTTCTTGAAGGGAACTTAAAACCAATGGAATACAGAGGGAATGAGGATGGTTTGCCATAATGTTTGCAGCATGGCAGACCGGGCTGTGAAGGTTCAAACTGGTGGAACTGAGGAATGTAGTTAGCCTGAGCATTTTCCATGAATGTAGCGATAGAGCAGTGGGCGGTCTGCGTCATTTCATCTGTGAGAGAGGGATTGCAGGGTGGAAAATAATTCTCCCCACCACCACAAGGACATGGAGACAATTTTGGATGATCAACGCTGCAAAGTGGGTACTGGGCAGCTCCTGCCTAAATATGACAGAAGTACTCCATTTTAGGCCTGACCTGACTCTTTTGTAAATCTAGACTATAGCACGAGGAGTCAGGAAGTTATTGGAGTAGTACAGGAAACGGAATTTTTTTATATATATATATATATATATATATATTTATTTATTTAAAAATATGCTACATAAGAGTTCTCAGCATTGGAATCAGATTTTTAAATAAATAATTTATTTATGCTCTACTTTTGTATCGAGTACTATTTTTTAAAAAATAATAACAAAAATACTAAAGAACTTTGGATTATTTACCTAACGAGTTCTTTCCTATATAATTTTACACACACACACATATATATATATATATATATATATATAAAAAATCAAGAAAATTTATTTCTAAATGGCTTATGGGAAAATGATATATAAATTTAAATCCTTTAGGACTTCATCAGGCTACGGTTATGTTTACATTGATGCAACTACACATGAAGGAAATGGTGGTGGTGGATACTGAGAATTTAAAATTTTTAATTTTTTTTCATTTAATATATGTTTTGGATAAATAATCGAGCAAATTTTATTTAGATTCTTTTTCTTTCCATCACCTTTGTTATTAAATATTGCACATTAGAATAACAGAAGATCTGTTCAAAATTGCTCAGGTATCAGAAAATTTGTATTCAAATTTTTACAAGAAAGCAGGAAAATAGTCCAAATATAGAAAAAATAAACAAAAAATTACTGAAAGAATTTTGCTAAGTTTTTAACTGAACTTCAGCATAAATATATATATTTATACTCAATTCCTGGATTTCTTTCACTCTAACAT